TTTTTATTGTTGGAGACCCAAATTTGTGTTATATATAGAGATTAGAGGCCCAAATTTATCCTATAATGCGTACACTTTATTTGCACTTGCACTTAATAACTGCCACATCGAATAAAGCTTTCAAAATTGTTAAACATTTTTATCATCAAAGGGTCTAGAAACTTATTATTTACACTCCCCGCTAATATATTGGCTTATTTTGAAAAATAAGTAACAAGTTAATTTTTTAATTTTTTTTTTAAAACGTACAAAAAAAATAAAAATAAAGACATAATATGATCTAAAAGAGTTAAAAAATTTAAAAATTGACTTTTAATCAATTTCTCAAAAAGATAGACATGGAGAGTGAGCATGAGTTCAGACAACAATTTGGATGTGTTTGGTTAAGTTTTGAAATTGTGATTTTTTTTTGAAGTTGTGATTTAAAGTGTGAAATTGTGAGTTGAGTTTTAAAAAGAGAAAATTTATATGGTTATGAGTTTTAAAAAGTGTTTTGAAAAAAAAATTAAGTTGTATTTTGAGTCTTGAGTTTTTGAATATTGAGTTATATTTTGAATTTTTTGGATTAATTTTTTTAAAATATTAAAAAATGTTTAAGAAAATTTTAGGTTGCGTTTGGTAGAGTTTTTTAAATATGATTTAAGAATAGAGTTGTGTTTTGAGTTTGTGAGTTTTTGAATTATGATTTGAGTGTAGAAAATTTGTTTGGTAAATGAGTTTTGAAAAAAGTTTTGAATTGAGTGAGAAATTTTTGATGTGTCATATGATATTTGATACAAAAACTTCCAACTCATAACCAAACACACAACTCAAAATTCTATTAAAGCTCATAATTTTTTTAAAAAAATTCGGAAAATATTTTTTATTGAATATATAAAAATTGATATGTGGCACAAATTACCAAACAAAAAAAAAAAAATATTGCACTTGTAACCGGTCAAGGGCTGCACGTGGGGGTTTGTCCAAATTTTCCCGCTTCAAACGCAGTTTTTCAAAAAGTTGACTGCTGGATACATTGTTTTTGGGGAACATCATAAACAAACGTCTATGTTCAAATCAGCTTAAAACGTTCCCAAGACTCCACCAAATCAGGGAAGCCCGTATTTTTTTATTTTAAATATATATTTTTTATTTAAATATTTTATTTTATTTTGTAAATATTTTAATTTTTTAATTTTAAGATTTTAAACTCAAAATACAATTTCAGACTCAAATCGTAACTAAACACATAACTCAAAACTCAATTCAAAAATTATTTTCAAACCTCATAACCAAACACATAACTCGAAATTCCATACTAGTTTCACAACTCTACACTCAAATCATAACCAAATACATAACAAAAAAAATTAAAATATTTAAAAATATTTTTATAAAATAAAATAAAATATTTAAAATAAACAAATATTTTTTTTTCAATTTTTTAATATTTAAAAAAATACAACACAAATATAAATGAATATAGTGCACATTAATATAAATAAACAAATATTAAAAAATAAAATATTTATCCTAAAAAAATAAAAGTAAGAAATTTTTTTGATATTTAAAAAAAAATAAATCTAAAAATTTTTAAAAGACAACACTCAAATTATGATTCTAAAAATAATTTTAAAAAACAAAATAAAAAAATATTTTTTAATTTTTTTAAAAAATAAAGTTTTGAAAATAATTTTAAATTGAATTTTGAGTTGTGTGTTTGATTATGAATTTTGAAATTAATTTTTGAATAATTTTAAATTATATTTTTGATTATAAATTTTAAAAAGTGTTTTAAAAATTTTGAAATCAAACGCAGCCTTGGGGACTTTCATAATCTCATCTCTCCGTCTCTTTCAATCAACATCGTACAAGAACTTTGAAGATTGAATTTTGAGAGACACAGAATTATAGTAGAACACTCTTATCTATGAGAGTGACTCGTCATTCACTGTTGCTTGAGCATTCTCAAAAATAAGTATTTACAAAGCGTGGTCAAAGTTAGCTCATTACCTATGAACAATTATATTACGTCAAATCTCAATTCTATTAAATCACAACTTTTTGAGGATAAACACAAATACTTATCTCTTTTATTTTTAGGAAAATTACAAATAAAAAAAATAAGGGCAAATTACAAACACCTCTCGAGATTTGGTAAAAACACAAATTTTCTTTTGAAATTTGAGAAATTATAAATTGCCTCTTGAGGGTCAAATTTTCATAACAATTTAAGAGAAATTAGGGGGAAATCTGTATGAAAATAAAAACCTCAAGGGGTAATTTGTTATGAAAATATAAACCTTAGGGGGCGGGATGTAATTTCTCAAACCTCAAGAGGGAATCTGTATTTTCACCAAATCTCGAGGGGTGTTTGAAATTTGCCCAAAAAATAAAAATAAAAAACTCAAGATTTGAACGTGATAACAAATCAAATCTTAATTTTTAATTATTTTAATTTAAATTCTCAATTTTTAAAACAGTATTAATTCAAAACAGTGACAATTTAGACAATTCAATCATTTTTTTGTCTATGGTGCTAAATGAAGACTGTAACTATGGAGTGGAGAAGAAAGAGAGGGATGCTAACCAGTGAACCGATAAAGGGGAGAAGTAACAATGGAAAATTTACACCCTAATACCTGTCTCTCTTCTCTTCTATTTACCTCTCACCATTTCTGTTTTTGTTTTTGTTACTGTTTGTTTATTATTATTATTATTATTATTATTATTTTGTGGGGACTAGACTGAGAAATGGAGTTCCAATAACGAATTGAGGCGTCCTTTGGGAAGTGGGTTGACTTTTTGATTTTTTAACTTTTTTGGCTATTTTAGTTTGGGTTAAAAAGCTTGGTTTGTGAAGGACTTTTTGACTTTTTGACTTTTTTTGTGAGAGAATAGTGTAATGATTATGGGTTAGATGTGATATTTTACTTTTTGTGATTAAAATAATTTATTTTATTTTTTGTGGCTAAAATAGTCAAAAAAAGTTCCAAATAGCTCTTCCCAAACGGAGGAGCCTGAGGGAATCCAATTTGTAAAGAGGATGGGAGGTGAAAACTTTAATTTAGGGATTGACAATGCTACGTAGCTCAAATTTTGTGGCTCAAATGGCCAAAACGACGTCGTTTTGAGTACAAAACAACATAAAAATGGCCAAAACGATGTCGTTTTGGCCATTTGAGCCACTTTTGAGCCACAAAATTTGAGGTACGAGACATTTTCCTTTAGGGATACTTATGGCCGATGCTATTTAAGGGTTGTTTTGGGTGTCCTAAATAAGTGTATTTTTTATCTTTTTGAACTAAAAAATTGAGAAAAATAATATGGATGTTTGGGTTAACTTTTTGACTTTTTATGAAAAAATGTGCATTAAAAAATTGTATAAATTAGTGTGTAGGAAAAAATTAAGATGATGAGTTGTGCAGTCGTAATTTTTGACTTTTGATAAATAATGATAACTTTTTAACTTTTTGAATAACTTTTTGACTTTTTGACAACTTGCCAAATTTGACCTTACTAGACTTATTTACCTATAAATCCCACTCATTTTTTTTTTTACCTACAACATCCCTAAAATCTATTGGGGTAAAATAAATATTTTAAAATTTATTAGTGCATTAAAAAAAATATAAAACACTTATAAATAATTAAGTCTATCCCATGGGATTAGTCCGTAATTTACCTTTTAATTTATTGGTAGAGCAAGATATGGGCATCAATCCCATATTGTCTCTCACATGTCGCAGTTCATAATTTGCTGCAGAATTGATCTAAGCAATCTAAAATTTTAAGATAAATTACACTAACATTCCTTCAAGTTTGGGAAAAAAAATACAATAAATTACACAAATTTAACAATAATTGCATTAAACTCCTTTAAAATTTTATTTAAATAATATTCAAATCTCCTTTCATCAGTTATTTATTAATCACATAAAACAAAAAAACAATTGTTTATTTGTACTTACCCATCATTTGCTTTAGTTTCAATCGTTTTAACTTTGCTAAAAAAAAATCAGTGTAACTATACTAAATTTATGAAACTTAAACTGTAATTTTTAATATTTCAGGGGCAGTAAGTGTAATTTATCCTTTTTCTTATTTTTTAATTTTTTTTTTTTATATATGTGAAGTCTTTGGTCTATGTCCACAGAGTAATGCTAGAGACCCCAAATATTCTACCAAAAGTTTTACCAAATGTCTCACATGGGTGTGGGACCCACACAATGTGGATCCCATGTGGATCCCACATCCATGTGAGACATTTGGTAAAACTTTTGGTAGAATTTTTGGTGCCTCTAACATTTTTGATGTCCACATGCTTATGATTCCCGAGCCGAGACATATATAATTTATTAATAGGTGGACAATTTGTTTATTAGTCTAACTGTAAGATCAAACAATTAATAAGACAGTACAATAAAAATTAAATTTGTTCTCTGTCACTATTGTGTGCATTTGTAATGTATAATAATAAATATATAATATATATTTATCACAAAGCACGTGGCGGATTCTTAACTTCTGTGCTGACGTAAGTACTGTATACTCTTTGAGGAATATGTAGAACAAAAATACTTAGAGGTCCTAAAAATTCTACCAAAAGTTTTATCAAATGTCTCACATGGGTGCGGGACCCACATTATGTGGGTCCACACCCCATGTGAGATATTTGGTAAAATTTTTGGTAGTGGGTCCCGCACCCATGTGAGACATTTGGTAAAATTTTTGGTAGAATATTTGGAATCTCTAGCATTACTCTACGTAGAATAATATATCTACATATCTAATCCCAATTATGTGGGTCCACACCCCATGTGAGACATTTTGTAAAATTTTTGATAATATATCTACATATCTAATCCCAATTAATATATATATATATAATTTATTTGTTGTTGTGTTCCTACATAGTCGTACCCTGATTTATCTCTCTAAAACTAACCTATTCTAAAAATAGTCAAGAGAGACACTCATCCATCAAAAGTTGCAATTGTTCTTAAGATCAAAGTCGTCTCCAATCAACTCTTCTGCAATAATAGGATTAGGAAAGAGAAATCTTTTTCTTTTTTTATTTTTTCATTTAAAGTTGAAGTTTTTCTCAAGATCAAAGCCGTCTTCAATCAACCCTTCAAATTCTACTATAATAGATCCTGGTATGCTAATTGTGTTTCTTTAATTTCAGCACTATAAGATTATACATGAAAAATATGATAATTTTAAATGTTCAATGCATTTTAAGATTATACATGAAAACTGCGATAATTTTAAATGTTCAATTAATTTACGTGCCTGTATCGTGGTGTATTTATATCTTGTATTCGTATCCCTTTTTCTTATGATAGACAAATAGATGGCTCCATTTTAAAAATAGCTTTGGGCCCACATGCATTTCACATATGTTTCATAGATACAACAAAACTGTATTTGAAAATCTTTTGCAATAACTTTCTTTAATGAATTACGCAAAAGATTGAATATGTTTGATTTGTGTTTGAGAGATGTGTTTTAGAGATAAAAAGTACGAAAAATTATTTGGTTTGGTTTTTTTCAAAAGATGTTTTGGAAAATTATTTTGAAAGAGAGTTTTGGAAAAAGTGATTGATTTGATGTTTGTGAGAGAGAGATTTGTTTGAAAAACTTGTTTGGTTTACAAGTTTTGAGAAATTTTTTTGGAAAATTTTGTTTGGTTTGATTACTTTTAAAAACTTATTTGTAGAGAAATTTTTTTTAAATTTTTTCAGAAATACAAACCAAACGAACCCTTTGAATTTTCCCATTTATGGCATCTTCCAGCTAGGTATTGCACACAATCATGTGCATAATATAATATAACATGATGTTTGTCAATAAGTTGTGGATCTGATGAAGCAAATGAGTCATATACACCTATAATTGGATATATACATATCCATACTAGCGATTGTGCACACGTGATGTGTAAAGTGACTGTTATCATATTTGAACCCACAAGTAAGTGTAGGGGTAATAAATGAGCCGAACAATTAACTGTTCAAGTTTGGTTTGAAAATTTTAACAAGTTTTAAAATTTGTTTATGCTTGATTTGTTAAACTTTCAAGGTGCTCTCAAATGAGCTTTTGTCAAGCTAAGTTTGAGTAGTTTGGTATTTTTTTTATATAGTTTTAGATTCATCGAACTGTTCATGCTTAGTTTGAAACCTCTAATGAGTTTTAAAATGTATTCTAGATTAGCATATTTACTTAATGAACCAAGCTCAAACAAGCTTTTAAAGAGTCGGGCTCAAGCTGTTTGGTTTGTTTACCATTCCTATCCACAAATTCAAGGTTGAGGAACTGAGTTTTGACCATGGACAGAGTAATTACAAGTTCCTTACGAATTTTGTTATCTAATTTTCTTTCTCGTGAAAAAAAAGCAATACATGTGTTTTGTTTTCTGTTTTGTGTTTTCATTTCGAAAAACACATAAAACTTGTTGGATGAATTCTTTCCAAAAACTGTTTGGTTGTGTTTTCACTCTTGATATTGAATTACATTCATCAAAATACTTCATCAGCCCAAAAACCAAAAAACATAGCATAACAAGACAAAACAAGATGGTGTTTTAATGTGTCACTCAAGATTTATACATATTTATACATAAAAAATACATGGCAGCATAGAGTCCAGTCGTGAGATGTGTAACACCGAGTGGGACCCACATATAAATAACATATAGCCAACTTGGCCAACTTACTTGAATGAAGGCATTAAAAAACAGTACTTATTTTTATTTTTGTTAACAAGTTTTAGCCCTTGTAGTCTTTCACATGAATTTCCTTGGTCTTCTTATCATATATAAGCGAAGTTTTCTTCTATAAGCACACGCATATATCCAGTGTTAGAATTTCCCATTTTTACCTTCACCTACCTTCACCTACTCCACTACACACTCCACTTCACCTACCTCCACTTCACCACACACTCCACTTCACCTAACCCACTATCACTTCCACTACACCCACTACCACATTTTCTTCTATATATAGATTGTATAGGAATTGTAAACAATCATCTTGTAATCAATCAATTCAACATATCAATAATACATAAATTTTTATATCCAGCCATAGAAGAAATAAACATACCTGCAAATAGGAAAGATGGTAACCAAAAAGGATGAAGAGCGAGGCCGGGACAGCTTGCAAGAAGAGAATAGAGAGCCACTTCTACAAGATCAAGAGCAGACTTTGGCTGATAGAAAAGATGAGCATGAATGGATGGTTTACTTCAGCACCTTTGTTGCTGTGTGTGGTTCTTATTCATTTGGAACCTGTGTAAGAGCCAATCAAAACATTCAATTAAACTTCATTTCATGCAAGAAATAGTTAAAACAATTCAATTATAAAAAAATAAAAAATAATAAAATAATAAAAACTTCTGTTCATAAACACAACTCCACTTGAATTTAAAGCTTCTTTAGAATTCTGATGTGACGTAATTTGTTGGTTTTCAGGTGGGCTATTCATCGCCTGTTCAATCTGCCATCACAGAAGATCTCAATCTATCGATAGCAGAGGTTGGCTATAAGATGTATCTTCAAACTCGTGAATGAATCTATTCTTTGCCTCTTTGCTAATAAATCTGAATTACCATAGAGTTATAAGATGTATCTTCAAACCTGTGAACTCTTGCTAATAAATCTGAATTACCATAGAGAATGGCTGGATATATAAGATTATAATGACCAGTGCATACAAAGTACTGAATATTAGAAATTCTATATTCTTTTTACCAGAAAAATCCTAACTGAAAAAATATGTGCCTCTCCTGATCATTAAGTCAATGAGGGATTAGAAATATGTATTCGCTTGACAGAAAGAGAATGAGTGCTCTCATGTGTTTTCACGCCCCTCTTGATAGTGCGTTTGTTTTGGGCACAAAATGTCGTGGGGTCAAATCTTGTCATCCCTGCATGTTACTTCTCCTTTGAGTAGTTAGGAGGGATCAATTGAGATGGATTAATTTTGGACATCCATAATATTTCATTTTTATCCCAATTAGAAACTTTTATGGATGGGGTTCAAAACAGGAGATATCAGGAGTATATATAGTGATTCATATACTATAGTAATTTAGAAAATTACAAAAAAGTTTGTTTTTTGACATACTTCTTCAGTAATGTGTATAAGAAGTTCATAAATGCTCCACTAGAAATACAATGAATCATAATTGCAGTTTGAAACACAGTTACAACTAAAAATCTGAAAAAGAATTTTGGGCATGGTACAAGGGAATTAACAAATTTTACTTTAACTAACATAATAAAAAACCCAGTTTGAAAAAATATCAATATTGTTGCTGCTGTAGTATATAAAGACCGATTTAGTAATACTTCAGATAAAGTCAAGAACTACCCACACAATATAAGCAGTGTCCTAAATAATTCATGTATTTCACAATAGATAAAATATTGAAAAAAACCGGGGATTCAAATTTGAAAAGTTCACGTTTAGATTTCTCCGAAATCTTGAAAACTTTATTTTCTGGAGTTTGCTGATGAGTTTGTTTGCAGTACTCATTGTTTGGTTCCATAATGACTTTTGGCGCGATGGCTGGTGCAATTACATGCGGGCCCATTGCTGATTTCATTGGTCGCAAAGGGGTAAGCCACTAGATTGCCTAGGACAAGACTGGATCCTCTGTCCGGATCCTCCCGTCCCAAGACACCTTTACTGCAAGACAGGTCTCTCTGACATGATCATGCAGTGGATGGAGATCTTTGGACTGGGAAACAGTAAAGATCTGGATAGAGTATCCTGTCGTCTAGGACTTCATGCTTCTTTGGAAAAACCCAAAAGTAATGATGTGTCATGTGAAATGCAAGCAGGCAATGAGAACATCAAGCGCTTTCTGTGTTGCTGGCTGGCTAGCCATTTACTTTGCTAAGGTTTGTGTCATCTTACTCTTTTTTGAGTAATTTTCTTTCTAACCTCCTAAGTGTGTGTGTTTTACATAACACAGTGACCTAATATCTGTGCTTTCATTATTACAAAAAAGGGGTCTCTAGCTCTGGACATTGGAAGAGTAGCAACAGGATATGGAATGGGAGTCTTTTCCTATGTGGTACTTTCTCTTTCCTTCTTTTCCTTGTAAACTGTTTTGGAAAAACCAAACTGTGTTGTGATCTTGTTAGTGTGTGTCACACTAGGAACAGAAGCAAAACAGAAACAAAAACAGAATAATGAAACAGTACAGAAATGAAAACTGTATCCAAAAAAAAAAAAAGAAGGGATTTGGCATGTGGGTCCGATCTTTATTTTGGCTCCAAGGTAGCCAAAACCCATGGTTACAAAACCATTTTCTAACAAGCTTGACACTAATGTTATGATCATTGTGGGATAACAAGGTACCTGTATTTATAGCTGAAATAGCACCCAAGAATCTGCGAGGAGCGTTGACTACCCTAAATCAGGTAAAATCACAAGCAACCACATCAATAAATGCAAGGAAAAAAAAAGTGAAAAATCAAATCTGATTTTTTCCTACTTACTCTGCAGCTCATGATTGTATGCGGTGTCTCTGTTTCCTTCATTATTGGGACAGTGCTGTCGTGGAGAGCTTTAGCATTAACAGGTGAAATTGTCAACACGTACCAAAACATGCGTTCAGTTTCCATATATATATACAGAAATTAAAAGAAAGAGAGTGAGAGAGAGAAGAAAAAGAGAGAAAAAAGAAAATTAGAGAGTGTTAATACCGAGCCAAGGGGCTGACTTGTGAAGTGCTTGCAGGATTAATTCCATGTGCCATTCTGATTTTTGGTCTCTTTTTCATCCCAGAGTCTCCGAGATGGTTGGTAAGAAATTAAGAGTAAATTCTTTTTTAAATTTATCAGGTATAATCATGGTACCGTTTCAGAGAAAGGTGTTTATTGATAATGCAGGCAAAGGTGGGGCAACGAAAAGAGTTTGAAGCTGCATTACAGGAACTGCGGGGCAAGGATGCTGATACATCTCAGGAGGCAGCTGAAATCCAAGTTCGTACTTTTAAATTCTAAGGCTGTGTTTGGATCATATATTTGGGTAGGAATTTGGAAAAGGAAAAGGCGAGGGAAATGGAGAAAAAAATTAGCTTATGTTTCATTCACATTTCTCTCACCTTTTCTTTTCTCCTTTTCAAATCTCTACTCAAATCCATGATCTAAACATAACCTAACAACTCCGGTTTTCATTGATAATGTTTCGGAGAATTTGGAAAATGACAAGCAGGATTTTGTTATTGCTTGGCAGGATTATATAGAAACTCTTCAACAGTTTCCGAAAGCCAAACTACTGGATTTGTTTCAAACAAGATACTTGCGCTCAGTCATTGTACTTTGTTTTTTTCTTTTTGTTTCTCAAAACTATTATAAATTATCTTTCTTCACTGCCTAGCTCATCCCTTCAGAGGAATTTCCATTCTGCAATTTTCCATCTCTAATTTTTTTGTTACTATTTTCTTTTGCCAGATTGCAGTTGGACTGATGGTCTGTCAACAATTGGGGGGAATCAATGGAGTCTGTTTTTATGTCACCAGTATTTTCGAGTCAGCAGGTAAACAACTTATTTTATGACTATTTTTTTCTTCAAATCGGTAAACAGGGGAAGGAGAAGCTGCATCGCAACGATAAGACTAGGGCTGTGCAAAAGACTTCACAACTTCACCAGGCCTATGGCTGTGCAAAACACCGCCCAACCCCCTAATCCAACCTGCCTCAACCCGTACAAATCCCTAACCAGACCTTTATTTTTCATCTATTAGAGGGCAAATTGAACTGCTCAACTTTGAAAATTAAGCTTAAGTTAATTTAACTTCATGGGCAATAATTTTAACAATTGCATATGTAATTTGCCAGGATTTCCTTCCAATGTTGGAACTATAATCTACGCATGTCTTCAGGTTATCAACTTTCACTCCCTTGGTTCCCTGGAGATCAAGATATTTCAATATACAACGAATGGGTTCAAGTGGATTTTTTTTTTTAATTTAAATTTTTCTCTCTCTCTCTCTCCCTCTCTCTCTCTCTCTCTCTCTCTCTCTCTCTCTCTTTTTTTTCTTTTTGCAGGTTGTTATTACTGCACTAGGTGCAACCTTAATAGACAAAGCTGGAAGAAAACCCCTGATACTGGTAAACCTAGTATAATGTACCCATTACCTTCAAATATGCTATTGCCATTCCTCCTTGAGTAAGATCAGATTCGTTTTCATTCTAGGTTTCTGCATCGGGATTGGTCCTAGGTAGTGCACTTACGGCTATTGCATTCTATCTGAAGGTAATTGACAAACAATTAATCACAAGAGGGTTCTTTTTTTTTATTTCTTTATTAATTTACAGTTTTGATCCCTAAAATTCATTTATGAACCAGACCTATGAAATAGCACTGAAGGCATCACCCATATTTGCTGTAACTGGCATACTGGTAATACTATTAACTCTGCGAATCCAAAATTTCAACTAATATCAATTTTTCTACACTATTGTTTCGACTGTTTCACCCATAATCTCTAATAACTGTTTTTCTTGACTAGATTTACGTAGGATCATTTTCAATAGGAATGGGGGCTGTTCCTTGGGTTATAATGTCCGAGGTATGTAAATAAAACTAAAGAATCATCAGTTACAAAGAGCTATTTGATGATTTTACCATGAAGAAATTTGACTTCTGTTGTAGATATTCCCTATAAATGTTAAAGGAATTGCTGGAAGCCTAGCAACACTGGTGAATTGGATCATGGCATGGGTAGCATCCTACACTTTCAATTATCTCATGAGCTGGAGCTCTTACGGTAAGGAAACACAACAATCATTTACATTTTTTTACCTTGGTAATTTGTGTATTAATGCTCTACAAAAGTAGAACTAACTCAAAACCAAAGATAATTTGAATGTGAAAGTCTCGGTTGGGTTATTTTAAACGAAATGAGCATGAAAATGTGTTTTCAAGCCAATTTGTACAACCTCATTTCATCCCATTCGAGCTTGATGGTTCTGTATTAACTTCGGACCGTATGAGCCAATGTTAGGATTCATGAGACCTTTGATATATTAATTTGTATATATACATACATGTTAAAATCCACCTACTCTCCACCTACTTCACCCACTTAAACCTACTCCACTAAACCTAACCCACTACACCACTACCACCTCACCTACTCCACTATAAACCTAACCCACTACACCACTACCACCTCCACTTCACCTACTCCTTACCTACTACACACTCACCCTCTTCTATATATAGGAATCATGAATCATTGTAATAGATATAACATTACAATCAATATATAAATCAATAATACATAAATTCTTACAATACATATGTTTGACTGACTTCGGCAGAGCAGTATAAGAATCACTCCAACACAAGTTTAAGGTTATTTTGATGAATCATGAGAGCATTGGGTTTACATTTGATTATGTGGTTATCAGGTACTTTCATTCTTTATGGTGCGGTCAATGCAATAGCAATTGTGTTCGTGGTTAAGATGGTTCCTGAAACGAAAGGGAGAACTTTGGAACAAATACAGGCTGCCATCAATGGTTGAGGAAAAAAGAGAAGGGTGAACAATTGTTTTCGGATTTGTTGAAGGCTTGACAACCCCATTCAATTTCTTAAGAGAAGGCTAAGTGTTGTATGATTATTCCAAAAGAAGTTGCTTCATGCTACAATTTATTTAATTATATATTTTTTTAAATTGATAGATGAATTATGAATACAAGTATTTGATATTGATTAACATTGACTATGAATTTTCTTTCTTCAAATTTTAAGTTTAATAAATCTTAGAGGATTTCCAGCACTAACTTATCATAAGCACGTTGCATTTCCGTTCTTTTTTTTTCCCTCCTTTTGTTGTTACTTTCTGGGGAGAGGGGATTTAAGATATGCAATGACATCCAATTTACTATGCTATAGTTTTTGTCTTAGTTTATGTTTTATTGGCTTAACCATGCTGTAATATACACCTCTAGTTTGCAAGGAACCAAAAAAAAAAATGTTTAGCATTCATTGTCCCAAGTAAGTTTACAAAGACAACTTAAAGAACAAATCTGTCAAGGAAAGAAGCAAATCAAAGGCATAATAGTTCTAACAAATGTGTTTCAATTTCATTAGGTTTATGACTGGAACAGCTGAAATCTCATTGAAAATGTTTAAATTTCACACAATGGGAAGCATCTGATATTTTATCTCCAATGACTAAAACTTCATTTAAGGTGCAGAGAAGATTTACATAAAATATACCAGGATCCTTACCTCCAGCTGAGTCTCAGAAAATGTCTTCTTTTATTACATGAACACAACATTTTCACCCGAAGAAATCCGAACAGTGCAGGTTGTTTGAGCCCTCAGATCTTAACCGTCAAAAGAATCCAAGCATACAGTCACAACAGCACAATCTTCCATTAAATCAACGATTTTGTGGTTTCTTATAATTTTAGGTGGTTTATATTGACTTGCCGGTGCTCCGTTTTCAATAGCAACTTGCAAAATTTTGTCAAAGCTACCAGGTTTTACAATGTATAACAACATTGGACCAACTTCACCCCTTTCCCTCATTAGCTTATATATTGCTCCAAATCCATCCTCAAGATAGGAACAGCACCCTCTAAGAACTAGAACCGACTCATTTAATTTCTCCAGCTGCAAAAATATAGATCCCTCTCTCACTTCTACAAAAACCTTTAACTGCTTCGGGTTCAACTCCAAATCCAAGAAACCAGCAAACTCTGTCACCTCTGTCATCGCTTCGTTTCTTAGCACTTGTTGGAAACTTTTGATTGCAGACATCAAGTCCCCTTCTGTCAAGACCTCACTGGGAGTTTTAGGAGCTCTCGTCACAAACTCAACTTGCGGGGATGAATTATAGAAACCAACAACCTTCACAATATCACCCAAACGATATCGATGCAATCCTCTATAAGTAGTCACAACCACCTCATACATCTTCCCCACCTCGACACCAGTATGATCAACCGTTTCTTCATCACGAGCACTCGTCTTGTTCATGTCAAATGGAAGAAACTCAAAATAGGCTGCGGTTGGTAGCATAGTAAATTGGGTTAGCTCTGGAGGTTGTGAAATATCCAAGTTAATACCCACACAACATTCTGAAGCAAAGTAGTCTCCGCCTAACACCGGTAACTCTCCTCCATAGTACTTAATTTTTGAATAATATTGCTCCATATTTCCCGTGGTAACACACTTAATATAACGCGCATTTGGCCATAATTTACTTAAAATGCCTCCCCAATCCTCTTCTTCACAAATTGATCGACATCTCTTCGCCAGTTCTGGTTGAGGCTCAGAGAGAACCTCAGTAACTGAATCTCTCATGGCAACATCAGAAATCCCCGAACTTGGATACCCATATTCAAGATCCTGACATAATTGTTCCCACTTAGATTCCAAAAAGCAAATTGCTCTAACTAAACCGGCAGCATAGGGTGCTTGAATCCCATCAACTAAATCAGAGTGCCTTAAACCACAAAGAAGGTGGCAATACATTTGTTGCTCAACATCTGAACCTAAAATGACTTCTTTGGGACTGACAGACATGGAGAGAAACCGGGATGCGTTAGGATTATTGCTTTGGAAAGGGCACTGCCCTGGTGAGCCAAAAATGAGATGGCTTTTGATGGCGCAGAATCAAAGTAAGGGATCAATTTTGGCTTCATGGAACTCATCCTGGAACTGCCAAATTGCATAAAAGTCAACATACATGGTTTTTAAGTTACTAATCATCCCAAAAGTTTAAGTCGTTACAAAATTAGCATCAAGCTAACACTACCTCCATGTGCAAGCCTGCCTCGCACATGAACAAACCAACAAACGCACAAAGACAGACGGAACAAAGTTGACAATGAGAGAGATAACAGGGGTGATAAAACTTAAACCTAGGTAACCTGAAACCAAACCCCTCATAGCATGTTAAGTCACCCAAAACAAAAAAATTTGCCCAAAACTGTTGAAAAAATGAGTTCAATAATGTATATCAAGCTAACATGGGTAAAGACTTAGACCTCGAACAAGTGTTTCTAAACTCAAAATAGATTTTAGGGTAAATTACACTTTTAATAACTCTCAAGTTTGACTCAAATTTTACTTCAAGTTTTTAATTTGAACAATATAGTCCCAACATTTTAAGTCTAATTTTGATTTTATCCTTCCATTAAAATTGGACAGTTAAGATTATTAATTTTTGTAACAAGTTTTGATTTTGATTTTTGAAACTTTGTTTGGCATGTGCTAAAATAGCGCATGCTAATTTAACACATTATTTTATTTAGGTCACAATCATCTTATTTGGGTTGCTATCTAAAAAACAAAAAAAATCATCTTATTTGGGTCACATTGCCCCCTCTATCACACCACATCACTTTAAACTCAATCCACATTTTACATTTTTTCATAAAAAGTCAAAATGTATACTAATCTAGTACTTCCCAAACAATCTCTACACTTTCTTTCTTTTCTTTTTTTTTTTAGATAGCCAAATTGAAACAAAGGCACTATTTGGCATCCTCTATATTAGCACACTTTTAATCTTTTTTTAATCATATCACCTCTCTATTTTTTCGTACATATTTTCATAAAAAGTTAAAAAATATACTTATTTAGATAATCTCAAACACTGTCTAAACTTAAATAAGCCAAATTATTCAAATTAAAATAAGTCAACCTATGGGGCAATAATAGGGTTTATTTTGCACTTCTTCTTTCAATCTGTTTGGTTGCTAAGAAAATGCAAAATAACAGACAAGATCAAAACCCCAACTCAAAGTCTCAATCATATATAACGCCAACGTTAATAACTTTCTTTTCTTTTCCTAAGCTTTCTTGCCAACCAAAAAGGCAGAGTTTAACCAAAGAAAAGCTCAAGCAAGTGATTTCTAGAACTTGAATTGTTAGAAATTGGGTCAGGTTTAGAACCCATGCCCGATTGGGTCGCCCATAGTGGCATGACCTAAAACCCACAAGTAGAAACCCAGTCAAAATGGACTTGGATTAACTTATCTTGTGGATAAGTGTGATTAACCCATTATCTCATCTCTTGAGGAGATAGAGTTGTGGGTGGTTATAATTGTCCCATATAATATACGTATTATATTTGAGGGGGTAAGAAACCGTATGGGTAATCAGTATCTTTCTCTCTCTCTCCTAGACTCTCTATTCTCTCTCTCCATAGAAACACAAAATAGCTTTTGTGCCGTGAATAGTGTGGGTAGTTCTCTAATAGTTTTACTCCATTGCTGGGAATTATTTGAAGACATCAATGAAAGCACATGATCCATGAATTCAGTTTGAGCATAAAAGGTATGCCCGAATCTGTTTATTTTCGTTGTGCAATATTTCTTATTTTTCCTACATTGGTATCAAAGCCATTGCTGGATGTTTTTGTGTTATTTGTGCATGAATATATATATATATATAGAGATATGATTAGTGCATAAAATTTATGTTTTTCGTACTACCTCTTATTGTCCTAAATTTTATATATGTGTTGTAATTCATATTATTTAGATCATATCTACAAAATTTTTTAAAAAAATCAAACAATCAGATTTTAAGAAAAATGAAGATTTATATTTGATTTCGTAACTTTGACTGCTTGCTGGTTTTACATGCTTTGTTTTCTTGTTGTGAAAATTATATATTTGAAATCCTTGTTTCGAGACCTTTGAAACGGTATATTATGGGTCTGATTTCGACTTATGATTGAGGAGAAAACTCAAACCCTAGTTTTGGATGAGAGTTGGAGCCATTGAAAAAGAAAACGAGTTTGCTAACGTCATCGGTGCTGTTGACATGACGCTGACTGACATGCTGACGCATGCGCTGATGTCATCTGTTTAGGTAAGAGTTGATGCAGGTGCCTTTAAGGCTCTGTTTGTTTGGTTTTAATTTAAAAACTACGTTAATTGCTTCTAGATTATTTGTTATAATTTTGATTGAAGCATGACTGGTACCGTTGGACTCATAATTCATTTTTCTACAATATGTTAATGAATAACTCAATATTTTTACGTTAAATGCTCTTGGAGAAGCATGACTTGGATTCTAGAATTGAAATTTTTACAATAGACTACTGCTATGTAATCTTATTTACTGGTATGTTTTTTGTATTTTTCCAAATTCCGTAATATTTATTTTTGATTTTCTGTGTAATTATTAATTACTTGCAATTTTAGAAAATTTCAAAAAATTGCAGAAATTATAGAAATATGTTATGTCATTATTTAAATACTGTATACAGCATGTTAAGTTCTTTTAAATGTTTAGAATTTGTAGTATGTTGTTATTTTGACTGGCATGATTTATTGATATTCGTGAATTTTAATTCTATGATTAAATTAATTTAGCATGTTTTCTTTTATGAATTACATTGAGATGTTATCATGTAGAGTTAAATATTTTATCATACTTGAGACATGCTATGATCAGTGGGAGGTTGTTCAATTTTTTTTTTTGGATCAACAACAAAAGCTTTATTGATAAAACAAAAAAGAAAAAAGAAAAAAGGATAAGGCATCCTCTTACAATAGGACAAAGAAAATACAAACACAAAAATAACCCGTAACAAGCTAAACACGGGCAAAAGACTACATAGCACACGCTGCCACCTAGTCTCTAGCTAACAAAAAAAGTGGAACACCCTTAAATAATGAGTTCCCTGACACCCCAAAAGAAGATAAGTGACAAACATGATCCCACAAACAGCCCACTTCCCGAAACTTCTCTTCAAACAACTTCTGATTTCACTCCATCCATAAAACCCAAAAAATTGCGAAGACGGCACAAGACCATAGAATTTTGGCCCTCTTCGATCCTCCAAAAGTACAAAAATCAACTAGAAGCATATGCGCACTCCCTTTTGGGGCAACCCACATAACATTTCCCAAAGAAAACAATCTATGCTATAAATATAAAGCTACTGGCCAATGCAAGAATAAATGATCCATGGACTCCCCATTCTTATAACACAGAATGCACCACTGAGGATTTAGAACACGATTAGGTCTCCTTTTCTGCAATGTATCATTTGTCAAAATGCCTCCATGAACCAAGGCCCACATGAACACCTTTACCTTTAAGGGAGCACAAGCCTTCCAAACTCTTTTGCAAAAGGGAAATTGCGAAGCTTGAGGATTATCAATGATGAAATCAAAAAAAGACTTACAAGAAAATATTCCGGACGAATGAAGAGCCCAAACCCTCAAATCCTCCAAAAGAGGAGATAAAGAAAAATGATCAATTCTGGATAATAAAGAAATCAACTGCGAAGCCTCCCTATCATTAAGATTCCTAGAAAAATCAAAATTCCAGGAGATTGGAGCCAAAAGTGAGCAAGCCATGGAAGCAATTGAAGAATTATGGGAACGAGCCACTCGATATAGATGTGGGAAATCGGCAGCAAAAGAAGATTGACCCATCCAAACATCCTCCCAAAACCGAACAATTTCCCCATTACCCACCCTTACATAAAGATGTCGAGACCAACATGTGAAAATTTAGGAAATTGACTTCCAAGGAGCACGACAGCTACCCCTCAACACCACTTGTAAATCCCTATCATTGTCTTGAATCCCATATTTGCTTCTTATAACCGAATGCCATAGTGAATTAATCTCAAGTGGAAATCTCCATAACCACTTGCCAAGAAGGGCCAAGTTCCTAGCCACAATATTACCTATACCCAAACCCCCCTTCTCCTTAGGTAACGCCACCATCTCCCATTTCACTAAATGATCTTTTTTCCCCTCATCCTTGCCCTCCCAAAGAAAATCCCTCATCAACTTTTCTATTGCCCTTGCCACCTTAACTGGGACCTTAAACAGAGATAAATAATAAATGGGAATTCCGCTCAAAACAGTCTTAACCAAAGTGTATCTTCCCCCTCGAGATAATAAAGCCTTACTCCATCCTTCCAATCTCTTGCCAATCTTTTCCACCACTGGAGACCAAAAAACTTCACTCCGAGGATTACCCCCCAATGGAAGACCTAAATACTTAAACGGAAGTGCCTCTATACCACAACCTAAAAGAGACGCCCTATTCTGAAGTTGATCTTGCTGCATATTAATTCCCACCACGCTACTTTTTCCTAAATTAATCTTGAGCCCCGAAAGCATCCCAAAAATCCTCAAAACCGAATAAAGATTAACTATCTGACTTTCATCCCCTGAAGAAAAAAATATAGTATCATCCGCATATTGTAAATGAGTTATACTAACTCTATCCCTCCCCACCTCCAATCCCTCAAAAAGACCTGTTTCTTTAGCTCTATCGACCGTCCTGCCCATTACATCAGCCACCAAGATAAAAAGAAAGGGTGAGAGTGGGTCCCCTTGTCGAAGCCCCCGCGAAGCCCTAAAGCATTCCCTTGGTTTACCATTAACTATGACTGACATGTTGCAAGTTGACAAACAACCCCTAATCCAAGATCTCCACCGATCACCATATCCTTTCTTGTCCATTACAAAATCCAAAAACTGCTCCACAGGGTCATATGCCTTTTCAAAATCTATCTTAAAAATAAGACCCACCCTCCTTGAACTCCTATATTCCTCCACAACTTCATTTGCCACTAAGGCAACATCTAAAATTTGTCTTCCTTTTACAAAAGCCCCCTACGCCCTAGCCACAGTATCCCCTAAAGATACCCTTAGTCGTTTTGATAAAACCTTCTCCAA